AGGTGACGTAGGGCTGTTTTTCAACACTTGAAATGATTGAAGGAGGGATGAATAGAAAAATGTACACAGAAATTCTTGATAAAAATCTATTGCCATTTACCAGGATGTTGAAGGTGACATGTGGATGGACATTTCAGCTAGATAATGACCCCAAGCACACACACAAGGAAACTTAATTGGATTCAGTAAAAGAAAATAAAGCTGCTAGAATCACCCAGCCAATCACTTGACATGAATCCAATAAAAAAAATCTATGGAATGAACTAAAGATCAGAGATCATAGAAGAGATTTGAGGATTGTTCGTGTGGAAGAATGGGTCAAAATCAGACCTGAGCAATGCATGTGATTAATTTCTCTATACAGGAGGCGTCTTGAAGCTGTAATTGCAACAAAGGCTTTTGTACAAAGTATTAAATGAATTTCTGTAACTGTTGAAAGTGGACTAATAAAATTGTGTTTATCAATTTAAGAGCAAAGGAAGCCATCTGAATAATGTTTCCTCTGATTGGTCCATTGTAATTTTAAGCTGCCAATAGCCGTTGCTGTTGTAAGAGTAGTTCAGTGTTAGATGAGCAGAAAGTTGACGAAGTAGCCTAATCGTTGGAGACCATTTAGAGCTGTTTGTTCAAGAACCTGGGAGTGTTTAAATGAATAAAATAAGTTTGTCAGTACACTAGCAAGATTTGTATATCTGTGCAACTTAAATATATATAGCAATTTAAACAGTATGTGGTTTGTGATTTATTTGAGGCCTCTTGCTGCCACCTGCTGGACAAATTAGAAATGGCTATTTATGGCGAATGAAAATTATAGTTTCCATTGGTTTCTTTTTTCTGTATTTCTTGTAAACCACTCTCAGCTCTATTAAATAGCGTGACCAAACGTCCATATTTCCCAGGACATGTCCGTATTTCACGTCCTGTTTTTTTTTTGAGAAAGTGAGGAAATGTCCTGTTTTTTTTAAATTACCTTCATTGGACCATTAAATTTACAGGCACTAGGGCACTGCGCATGGCGCTGCGTGTGATGTGATCCCTAATCAGAATATAGATAACGCCAACAACATGCAAAGGCGCAAATGTTTGTTTACCGACGATTTACAAAAGAGTTTCCCCGCTTTCAGACCGGGTCGAGACAAATGGGAGGCCTTGTGCACAGTGTGCAAAGCAGCCACATATGTCTCAGTGTCCAACGGAGGTGCAAGGAATCTGAAAAGCCACCTGGACACCGAAAGTAAAGATAGTCTATTGATATTTTTGTTCGTTTTTGGTACATTTTGAGTTATTTTTGCTACACAAGAGGTATTTTTTGTTAATTAGCTCATTTGTTAATTTATTTTTACCAATAGCCTACAGAACAGACATTATTTCGTTCATTACTGAGGCTGAGTATCATCTGTTATTGGGAGTAGTTAAGAGTTATT